ACAAGAGGCTCTCCTTTGTAGGAAGGAGGGAGGGCCACTAGAAATAAGAACCAGAGCATAGCTTCAAGCCATGTGAGGTGTGGATGGAAGCTGCAGGTGGGTGGAAATAGCAAGCAGCAACCAGCCTGGGGGTAGGGGAGAGATGATAACAAAGAACAAGATCAATCTGGACAGAGGAAAAGCTTCAAATAAAACTCACATTTAGATGGCACGTACAGATAGGATTCAAGAGGCTAGTGGCTCTGAATTGTGGCATGCTGGATTTAAAAGGACCCTGCAGGTCAATTTGGTCTGTAACAGTGCTGAAAGACCAGAGGCATGGAGGTAGAGATGCCCAGTCTTGGTGTCAGGCTGTCTTTACTTATGGGTCCCATTATGCCATTGGACATACATGGCTGTCCACACAATATATCTGTTGTGTTCTGTGCATGTCTGCAAATGGATGATAGATGGCCTTTTGTGGATGTAATATGTGGCCCCCCCCATTCTGGAAAACTTCCAGCTGTGTGTGTTGGGTGAGGTACCCTAGGGCAGGGGTTCTCCATGAGTTGAGGATTCCTGTGAAAGTGATTTAGTGGGAAGCACCTTCAGAAGAGATAGGTATGGGATGGTGATGTGAGACAGGAGAGGGAAGGGGATCCAGCAACCACATGATGCCAAGCAGGCTGCCATAGAAGCTAACAGTGACTCAGTCTAACAGGGAAACCCTGGAAACGGTGTGGTCACACCTGGCAAGGGAGCAAGAGTGTTTGTATTGCTGATGTTACCCTGCTCATCAGCAGTTGGTTAAGGAATGGCCTCTGAGCCATACAAATTTGCAGGCACTTTTGCTTCTCACCTTGCCCAGGCAAGGTGTGCCCCTGCAGCACAGGTGTCTGCCTATAGTGGAATGAAGGTACTGGCTCCTGGGAGCAAAGGCCCATGGGATCAGTGGATCCCAAAGTGGTAATGGATCAAGAGGATATGTGTGAGCCTCCAACAAGGTTTGCCAAACCATGTCCTCTTGGACAAGTTCTCTATCTTGTTCAAGTGCTACGTAATTCTTCAACTTTTCTTGTAATTTGGCATGTTCTATGTTCTGTTTCTTCTATTTATACATTTTATTTCAATGTTCTAAACTGACAGGATATTCTAATTTCATTGTGTCACAATTTCATTTTGGAACTTCTATTTACTGGTCCCAGGTCTTCTCTCTTTGACCAGGAGACTGCCCCTGCTTCCTCTTGCCCTTCAGAAAGTTGAAAATAACTCCTACCCTAGGGTTCTTTTCTCTTAGCCTAAACTCTCCAGCTCCTTCACCTGCTCCCTATACGAGAAAGAATGTCCTAGACTCTGCCTCCTTTGGCTAGCTTCTTTGTACATTCTCTGATTCATCCAAGAGCTTCTGACAATATGGTATCCAAGTAAGAAATGGGGGCTTTGAGTATTCAAGCAGGCATTGTTTTGGAAAATGTTTTGGGTACCAAGTCAGCTGCCTCAGCAAACTACAGTACTGTTAACACTGTCATATTGTAGGGGCATGAAAGGGTTTCCTCCCTGCTGGGGTTTGAGCGTTCTCCAAAGCTTCATGTGTTAAAATTTAATCTTCATTTTCAAGTTTTAAGAGTGGAAACTTAACTATGGTGTTTAGAGATCGAGCCCTTGGGAGGTGATTAGGGTTAGATAAGGTGATCAGGATGGAGCCCCCATGTCTGTATAGCTTTATAAGAAGAGAGAGAGATCAGAACACACACACACACATGCACACACAGGTGTACTTGCTATGTCTCTTGCCATGTGATGCCATGCACTGCCTCAAGACTCTGCCAATAAGAAGGTCATCACCACATACAGGCCCCAGACCTTGCTTCTTCAGAATTGTGAGCCAAAATAAATCTCTTTTCTTTTTATCTTAATCAGTCTGTGGTGGTGTGTTACAGGCAAGAAGAAATGGAATAATAAACTCCCCTTCAGGGAAAACATTGACATCATACCTAGAACCAGTTATTACTGAGAACAATTAACTCAGGGTATATGTGGCTCAAATTATTAACAGTCCTATAGGACAGTAGGGACTAAATCAGCAGGAGGGCCTGTTAAAGCAGATCTCTGGCTCCACTCCCAAAGTTTCTTGTTAAGCAAGTCTGAAGTTGGACTGAGAATTTACATTTCTTAACAAGTTCTCAGGTGGTGCTGCCCCAGGGACGCAGACTACTCCTCTATGGCATTTCCCGATTATTTAGGCCCTGCTATTATGAGTTTTCAGAAGGTTTTAGTAAAGGGAGGGAGAAAAAGTAAAAGCTTACATCTCTGTACATTCTGCGAGCCAAGAACAGTAGTATATATTTTAACAGTGCTATGAATGTAGTCAGTATCCTTTTAAAAGTAATAAAATACAAATTTAAGTCATTTGCTTTATGGTCACATGGGACAGATCTGGAATTGGAGCCCAGATCTGTCCAACTTCAAAGTCCAGCCCTTCTCCACCCACCACATTGTGGCTGAAGCTGTCTGCTGGGCTGGGATGCCATCATTCATGTTTAATACACACACACACACACACACACACACACACACACACACTTCTTTGGCTTAAAATGCATGTCACAAAGATAAAGTACATTTCACATACACAAAAAAATGGTCTTGGGAAGGAAGGTGAAGGTGAATATTTTTTCTATAGTATATATGTTATTGTTTATCAAAGTGTTTTCACAATAAAATAAGTGTGTCAATTTCTAACAATAGGCTCTCCATGGAGGCTGCCAGAAACCATGTGTTGGAAGAAAGCATATTTGGATTGAAAGGAGACAGTAATGATAGATGAGAAAGAGCTAATTTGCCAAAAAACTGCATCTGAAATATGCAAAAGGTCAATTTTAGAGTGCTGTGGTTTTGAGAAAAGGTTCCCAATGTTATCATTACTGTTCTTCTTCCTCAAAAGTGCATTACAGTGGATGAATCTTTAAAATATTGTAAGTGAAAAAATCAGTCACAAAAGATCACATTTTATTTCACTTATATATATATGGAATGTCCAGAATCTATCAATATATAAAGTAGATTAGTGGTTGCTTAGAGCCTGAGGGACTAGTAGTATAGGAGGGCAATGGGAAGGAGTGTGGGGTTTGTTTCTGAGGTGATAAAAATATTCTAAAGTTAGACTGTGGTGATGGTTGCACAACTCTAGCACTATACTAAGAAGCTGAGCTATAAATTTAACACGGAGGAATTGTATGGCACATAGATTTTGTCTTAAAGCTGTTACCAAAAAGAGCACATTATATTTGTAAAAAAAAAATGAAGTGCCAATTCTATATGGAAGTTTGTTATTTGGGAATTTAAAAAAATGTACAATTATTTTAGATGTGAGAGCTAGGGAATTTAGATTTTGTTAGGCTAGGCCAAGTCAGGGAAAATGGAGTGCTCTGGTTGACTAGCATTGTTTCCTTGATGAGTGCTTGCAGGTCTTTAATTCTAGGTTCTGTCACAGAGGTGCAGATGTATGGAAAGGATTGGTGACAGCAGTTCACAATCCTCACAAGGGATAGAAAGTTCAGGGAAAATTGCACCGTTTCAATAGACGTGCTGGGGTGAGGAGGAGCTGGGTCTTCAGCAGCAGTCCAACCACACAAACTGGGGCAGGGATAGCTTCTGAAGCACTTAGGACCTTGTGTCTGGGCTAGAGAGTAGCAGTCTATGTTCCAGGATGCAAAAGCCACGTAGGAGTGGTCTGGTTACACAATGGAGCAGTAGGGAAGCACCAAGGGGTGGATGAGGTAGTACAGCCTTCCCAGAAGAGTCATGTCCACCCAGCCTCTGCACTCAGGGTCCACCTGTGGTTACCCACTTGATTCCTGGGAATGTAAGCTCATGGCCTTTCCAGGGTATGGCTTAAACCCCAGCTGTGTGAAGGGAGGGAGAACCAAAGTGAAGGAGAACAAAATTGTTTCAGTCATGTTCCTTTTAATAACCCTTTGCTTCCTTCCTACATCTATTCAACTCAACATACTTATGCCAAAGACCATGACAAGCTCTGCAAATGCAAAAGCCAGAAATAGTACCTGTCCTGGAGGAGTTGTTATCTAAAGGGGGAGGACAACTCATAAGCAGATCATTTTCGACATAACGACCACATCCTGTCATATCTACCCATCGCGGGGTGTTCAGTTTGGGTTGCAAGGCATGTTTTTAGAAAGGCCAACTGCTATGGTCTAATTGTATGTGTCCTTCCAAAATTCATATGTTGAAACTTACGTGATAATACTAAGAAGTGTGGCCTCTGGGCAATGATTAATGGGGGCTATGGCATCGTGAATGAGTTTAAAGTCCTTATATAAGACACCCAAAAGAGCTTGTTAACCTCTCACCTTATGTCACGTGAGGGCACAGAAAGAAAGTACAACCTAAGAAGCAGCAAGCCCCCACCAGACAGATTTGGCTAGTGTCTCGTTCTTGGACCCTGAGCTTCTAGAACTGTGAGCAATAATCTTCTGTTGTTTCTAAATTACCCCCTCTAAGATGTTTTGTTATAGCAGCCTCAATAGAGTAAAACACCAATTTAAGACATATCTACCACAACTTAAACATACACTGACATTTTAATATACTTAATATTGCACATAATGAAAATATTGACAGTACATATACATTATCCAAATGATCATGATTTTCCTGGATTGACAGTTATGTTTTCTAAATGAGGCCTTATAAACACACCTAATATAAAAATGTCTTCAGTTAACACATTACATCAGATCCTCACTGGCAAAACATGGTAGGCTGGCATGCCAGACCAGTAATAAACAAATATAAACAAGTACTCCTTATATAAAATTGGATTTTTGATGTAAATATAT